GGAGGCGGTAAATATATATTTGCAGCTATTAATTACACCGGCTGCCATAATGAAGTAATAATTTATAATAATGTTTGTTATATGTACATCACAAAGTTGTTGGTACAATATGTATTCTCGTCAGGGTATATATTTCCGAGAAAAAAATATACTATATCGCTTCTCTCTTAAATTCTATTTAAAGAAGTAAATTGTACAATGCAAATACATTTTAACATTCAATACTTTGGTAAATATCCATTCATTATGCTTCTATTTTGTAACTACTGCACACTTGCATTAATTTATTGACTAGACATTCATTTACAACTGTCAGTAGTTTATATGATGAAACTTGAAATGATTTATCGTTGATTCACTTAGGATAATGCATTCTTGGACAATTTTATTTAATACCTTTGTTAAAACAAATTAATAATAATCTCTACTTTCGTTGAATGAAAAGTTTAAGATGAATAGTTTTTACAATTCCTGCCAAAACACTCGTAACAGGGAATAATACATTAACGACTGCTTACTCTCACTTGCAAACTGCAAACGAGTAGAGTCTTCTATATTTTTACGGATGCTTTTTATTTTTATAAGTTAACACATAATTATACGTCTATTAGAACAATAAATGACGAGGATAATCATTTTTTTTTGGAATGCTACTTATTCTCTTCTCAAGACAACTCAAAGATCATTAAAGCTTCAATGCAGAATTGAAACAAATTAGAAAATCAATAACCAGAATAATAGAGTAGTTCTGGGAGAGACGGATCATACAAGTATTTCTTACACTATCTGCCATATGTGGAACACATCAGTAAGCATTTTTTGTCGTATATTTCCAAAATATTTGATTTTTACCCGTTTTTAAAAACGTGGCCCACCTCTCCTAGAATTACCATATAATTCAGGTTGTTCATAAGATGCGGTTTAGATTATTTAAAATAGACGCAAAAATCAAGTAGGAAAAATGCGAACACGCGATACAAATTGTACATGAAAAATGAGTTAGATATGGAGGTGTCTTTTCACGAATGATTTTGAAGATTCTCCTTAGGAAGAAGACTGTTTGAAAAATTTGGAAAAACAGTGAAAGCTGTCCTAAATATTTCAGTAGACCAGCCGCAATGAAGATCGTAAAAATTTCAATTGATACGATGCGACGCATCATTCAGTCATTTACAGTTTGACGAAGTTCAGCGCGATAAAAATGCACCAAGCGAAGATCTTCCAACGATCTCGAAGAGTACGTATAGCTCAAACCTGGCTAACTTCTTGACTCTTGAGCCGTTTCAGGAAGATCGTTCGCTGTAGCCTGTCTCAGACCGAAACCGCTACTAATTGAGGAGTGTGTTCCTCGCTGACGGGCGTAGAGGGTGCCTCGGTGATCGGAGTCGACGGATCACCACTGCTGCCCTGGTGATCTGTGGTACCTGTCAGGTGTTCAAAGTGTCTCTTTCAGATCATGAACGTTAACCGATGCTCCTAGAGGCTTTTTTTAAGCTTGTTCGGATATAGTAAAAGGGATATCGATTGAAAAATAAATTATATCTTAGAAATACAAAAGCTTAAATTATTTTGCCACTTCAAGTCATGTCATTGCATTTATTTAAATGATCTTTTAATTGATTTATCGTTACAAAACACTCGCAGACGAAGTTATTCGCAGTCAAAGATTTTGTATTGAAATCGGAATAAAGTACC